AAGCCATCTGGTTTAGGATTTGTTGGCCTAACGCTTGCTACAAGGGTTGGTTAGAAAGCTTAAGGGACTTAAACATTGCACGGTCATTCAAAAAAAAAAAAAAAAAAACTAGTAATAAACATGGTTCGCTAGAGTTCGTAGCCTTTCCAACTTGAGCTATTAAGCCCTTTGGAGTGTCTCTGCACTTAACACCCTAAAGCCATCTGGTTTGGGAGTTTTTGGCCTAACGCTTGCTACATAGGTTGGTTAGAAAGCTTAAGGGACTTCAGCATTGCACAACCATTCTATGTTTCGCTTATGAGTTACAATAAATTGTCAACAAGCAACAAAAATTGTCTTGTAAATAAAACCATGCCTTAGGGACCTCATTTAAAGGGGAATTCAATGATTTGAAAACTTGTGCTTTGGAATTGGAAAAGAAAGTAAAAGCCGCATGTTGAGAATCCAATTCACATTCACTGAAGCTAGAGTTGATTTCCATTCAAGAGATGATAATTGAGTTATTTATATAGACTTTGATGTTGATGCATGTATGTGGAAATGTATTTAGCCAATTTTTGTATCAATGCTTCATATATGCAAGGTAGTTTTTCCAATGACCCCATCTCCAGTTTTTGTCTGTTTCAAGTTGTATTTGAGCTATGTATCTATTTTATTTTACCATGGTAGATATTTTTGTAGTAGCAGTCCCATGTTTGTCATTCCATTGAGTTTTGCATTTTGGTTTTGCTAAGGGACTAGCAAAATGTAAGTTTGGGGGTGTGATAAGCGCCGAATATTGTATATTCAAGCGCCCTAAATTGCATTAGTTAAGTTCTTTATTTGTGTATTTTATATAGATTATCTCCAATTGTATGTTTGTGCACATTTTCAGGTTAAATTGCAAAAAGGAAGCAAAAATGATGCCTTGTGGAATTTTGAACAAAAAGGGTGCCAATTCTGAAATTCTGGCAGCAGTAGAACCTGACTTTTGTCACCATTTTTGACCTAGCAAACTCAAGAACTAGACTTCCATCATAACATGAACAATTTAGAGCTCTGAATCATCTTTCCAAATCTTCAAGCGGTTTGTCATTCGGAGTTCGGAGCAGAGAGTTATGATCTTCTTACCAGAGGTGCGCAGAACTGCCTGGCAGCACTGAAGTGCTGCCTTTCTCCCCATTTTCGACCAACCAGACTTGAGAATTGGGTCTTCATCAAAACATGAAGTTTTTAAAGCTCTGAATCAGATCTCCAAATATTCAAACAGATCATCATTCAGAGTTTGGAGCACAAAGTTATGGTCATTCTTCCACAGTGGGTCAGAGATGGGCAAGAGTTGCATGTTGCTCATTACACTAATTTCGAGTGCTTGAGGCCACCCTTCGAGTGCTCGAAATTTGGCCAGATTGCAGCTTGGAAATGAACCCCTCTTCAGCCCACTTGTGCATTGGTTTCCACATTTCCACCCTCCTTCTTTATGGAGTGGTTGGGAATGTCTTTGGAGGAGAGAGAGAGCTTGGTTGAAAGATATAAGGCAACTAAGGGCCACATGCATCATATCCTACATTTTCTACAAGATTAGAGGAGAGAGAAGAGAGCAAAAGAGGTGTGTTCTTCAAGCTCCAAGAAGGTTGCACGAAAATGGCCATGAAGATGGAGTTTCTTCCTTCTTCTAGCTTAGCAATGGGTAACTAACTCTTTCTCTAGGGAGGTGATGAAGTCCCTCCCTTGTAAGCATGTCCTAGGGTAGTCTATATTGGGGGATTGCAATGTATATTTATGGTCTTTTTCATAGCTAAGAGCACTTCATTTGGTGTAATGAATGTTTATATAAGTATGGATGATTTCTTCAAGCTCATTATCTTATGTTAGGTGATGTCTTGTATTAATCTTTTTGCCTGAGTTTACATGGTGAGAATGGAAACAAGGTTATGAAATGATTTAATGGCATGTTGATAGGTGACTTTGATAGACCATTGCTTAGGAAATCCTTTGATGGTGTATGCTTAATCTCTAGCTCCATGTGCTTCATCATTTTGTCAAGAATTTGATAGTCTTTCATTTAAGTAAACGTGTATAAGCTACACCTTAGTTAGGTAGTCTCAACATGTTTACCCTTTTGATGGATTATACTTGTTTGAGACCTAATGTACCTCTTGATTACTTACATGGCAACTATGTGTTGCTATGTAGTTTTGACCATCATATGTTATTTTTCTCCTAATTTAGGTCTAATCTAGCATGCGTATAGGGATGGAGGCGGATTCACTTCCTTAGTCTTCTTTGCTCATCGTCATCTCTTAAATTCTTGCAAGTTTTTCATTAATGCATATTTCAATTCATAGTATAAGTGACAAACCAACAAAACTCTATATACCCCCTCATCATTCTAAAAGTAGTCTAGACTCTTAGGTTGCCAAAGACTAGCGCAGTCCCAGTGGTTTGACTTACCCGACCAATAGCCCTATTTTACAATGATTCGTGCTATTGCGAAGGTTGATGTATAGTTGATCAACCAATCAATAGTGAGCATAAAAAAATAAAGAGACTGGGAGTCTCAGGTAGAGGGAGCTCCGCGGATCTCCCTTGCTAAGTCATCAATGGCAGTCAAGATCTCCATACGGAGGTGAGAAATGTCAGCTCGGATGGCAGCCATCATATTCAGGCGAAGGGTACTAATGTCAGCTCTAAGGGCAACTAGCATATCCTCCAAACTCTGGAGGTGCTCCTCTAAGTGACATATCTGATCATGAGCCTCAGGTGTGGCTGAAGTAGAAGAATTGTCATTCTTAGTCATGGTCCACAAAAAGAAAATCTTGCAATGGGATTAAGTGCTGGAATAATGAATTGAAGGCACAATAGAAACAGGTTTGTCAAATAGGATAGACAAAACATATATGACATGAATCTATGCAAGTGATAGGATGTGAAGTATGCTAAGCAATGTAAGTATGAAATGCATCCAATGTGGAATATCACAGGCATTGGGCATAGATATGATAGCATGAAGTAAATACAAGAGCAATGAAGTCTGTGTATGAGATCTCTAAAATTTGATCGATCAGGAAAAAGAAGTGAGATCAATCATAAAAGTTGGATCGATAAAAAATAAATGAGATCGATCTCACAACTTCGATCAATCTGAGACACAAGTTTGATCGATTGAACGGTGTTCTGTGAAAAACGAAAAGTCACAGATCTGTGACTGTGGGAGCACGGGACCCACACGAACATGTTCGTGGGCCCATCAACACCACAATCATCAATCCCAATCACCCAGAATAGCTCACCCTCCCAAAAATCAATGTAATTCATTACAATGGATATGACATAAAGACGAATATAGACATAGGACATGAAAAGCTTGAAACTTCATCCATAGCCAACAATCATCATGAATATTGGAACTGATCAAATACTTAAAGCATACTGCTAACAAATCGAGGTTTGACATCAATAATGGTGTCTCAGATCTTACCTTGAAGCAAAGAGAGGAGAGATGAAATGTGAAGGGGAAGAAGATCCGAGAAGAGGAAGAGATCGACACCTGGTTCACTATGGAGATCTCGCCGGAGATGGAGGAGATGGGTGAGGTTACGGCGGCGTAGGAACTAGGGTTTGGAAATGGGGGAGAATGAGATGTTATCCTCTATTTAAAAACTGTCGCATATAAGTTCGATCGATCGAACTTCGAATGATTTTTTTTTTTTTTTTTTTCAAATAAACAATGAAAATAAAATAAAATAAAATAAAATGAAAATATTTTTGGATTTTTGAAATTTGAAAAGTCAAAACAAATCAAACAATAAAATGGAGAACTGAGATCGATCGGAACAAGAGTTCGATCGATCAGATAGAGAGCAAAAATATGCAGATTTTTGGTTCAAAATTTGGCTAAGTGTTGGAACTTGAAGATCGATCGAACTTGGAAGTTGGATCGATCGAAGAACTTTAGATCGATCTTGGAATGTTTCGATCGATCAGACAGAGAGCAAAAATATGCAGGTTGATGCAGGCTCAAAATTTTTCTAAGTGTTGAATCATGAGATCGATCGAACTTGGAAGTTGGATCGATCGAAGGTCTCTTGATCGATCTAAGAGTTAGTTCGAATGATGGGACAGAGAGGTGATTTGGATGCAGGTTTCTGCAGGTCGAAAAATTTTCTAAGTGTTGGATGCAGAGTGGAGTTTGATCGATCGAACTCAGGTTTGAGATCGATCGAACTATGCAAAATGCTCAATAATGACATGAAAACTCATGCAATTCTCACCAAAGTTCCTTTCAATGTATATGAGAACCAAAAACAAGTATCTAGAATTCGCATGAAATGAAATGAAAGATAGAAATGAGGGAGGAATACGGTTTTGACACCCTACGAATGCTTTTACTAGTCTTTAACGTCTCTAGCAAGACGTTGGGCCCTTTTAGCCTAGATCAAAGATCTTGTTATGCATCCCCTCCTTATTGGGGTGATGAATGGTTCTTTGAACTTTTCCAAACAAATGGTTCTTTGAAGAACTTGTTGGTTTAAGCTCAAAAGGAGATTTTGGTTCCTTGCCAATGCAATCTTCTATATGCTCATACACCGGGTGAACTAGATGTGCAGCTTCCAAATGTCTTTAAAAGACTTGACCCTCTACGTAAGGTTTCAACCTTTGACCATTAACTTTGAAAATGTTCCCCTTCTTCAAGTTTTTGATTTCAACCGCCCTATGAGGTGCAACAGAGATGATTTCATAAGGACCCTCCCATTTGGTTCTCAATTTCCTAGGAAAGAGTTTTAGTCTAGAGTTGAAAAGCCAAGCTTTTTGACCGGGTTCCAAAGACTTTTTCATAATATGCTTATCAGGAAAGGCTTTGGTTCGTTCGTTGTAGATTTTAGCATTACCATAAGCATTGTGTCTCAACTCTTCTAACTCACTCAATTGAAGTAGCCTATTCTTCCGGTTTTATCGAGGTCAAAATTGAGTTTTTTAACTACCCATAAGGCTTTATGCTCTAGCTCAACCGGAAGATGGCAAGGCTTTCCATATACAAGTCTATAAGGAGACATGCCAATGGGAGTCTTGTATGCCATCCGATAAGCCCATAAAGCATCATTTAGCTTTCTTGACCAATCTTTACGGGTGGTGTTAACCGTTTTCTCAAGAATATGCTTAATTTCCCGGTTAGACACTTCAACTTGCCCGCTTGTTTGAGGATGGTAGGGAGTGGCTACCTTATGAGTGATGGAGTACTTAAGAAATAAGTGCCTCAAGAATTGATTGCAAAAATATTTTCCTCCATCACTTATTATAGCCCTTGGCATACCAAAACGAGCAAAGATATTGGATTTGATGAATTGAATGACCACGGAGTGGTCATTCGTTTTGGTAGCACATGTTTCCACCCACTTGAAAACATAATCAACGGCAAGAAGAATGTATTGAAAACCATGGGACATAGGAAATGAACCCATAAAATCAATGCCCCATGTATCAAAGATCTCAACAACAAGTATATTGGTCAAGGGCATCATATCTCTTCTAGACATTGTCCCCATCTTTTGACATCTTTCACATGATTTGCAAAAATTGTAGGCATCTCTATGAATAGTGGGCCAAAAGAGCCCACTTTGAAGAACCTTCAAGGCGGTCTTCTTTGCACTAAAATGCCCACCACATGCAAGAGTATGACAAAACACTAGGACACTTGGAATTTCACTCTCTGGAATCCATCTTCTCACAATTTGATCCAGACAATATCGGTATAAGACAGGGTTTTCCCAATAGTAATTCCAGATGTTGGCAAAGAAACGATTCTTTTCGTTCTTCAACCAAGAAGTTGGTAGCTTGCCTATTGCCAAATAATTCACAATGTCGGCAAACCAAGACATTTTTCCATTAGAAATTTGAAAGAGTTGTTCATCATGAAAAGAGTCACAGATTGGTAGACTGGGGAAAGGCTCTATTGATAACCTAGAAATATGATCGGCTACCACATTTTCGGTGCCTTTCTTATCCTTGATTTCAAAATGGAATTCCCGAAGAAGCAAAATCCATCTAATTAGCCTAGGTTTTGTTTCCCTTTTTGTCAATAGATGCCTCAAGGGGGTATGATCAGAAAAAACAACAACCTTGGACCCTAAGAGATAAGAGCGAAATTTATCAAGAGCATATACTACGGCACGTAATTCTTTCTCAGTAGTGGAGTAATTCAATTGAGCTCCCGAGAAAGTTTTACTTGCATAGTATATGGCATAAGGTAGTTTACCCATTCTTTGTCCCAAAACTGCCCCCATGGCATAATCAGAAGCATCACATATGATCTCAAATGGCAATGACCAATTTGGAGGTTGCATGATAGGAGCAGATGATAACAATTCACGCAATTTATGAAAAGCGTCTAGGCATGCTTGGTCAAAGACAAAAGGAGTTTCCTTGGCAAGAAGATTGCACAAGGGTCGAGCAATTTTGCTAAAGTCTTTGATAAAACGGCTGTAAAAGCCAGCATGACCTAGAAAGGAGCGAACCTCCCTCACCGTTGAAGGTGGAGGCGATTCAGAAATAAGCTCGACCTTCGCTTTATCAACCTCTATTCCTCTCCTTGAGATAACGTGACCCAAAACAATACCCTCTTGAACCATAAAATGGCTCTTTTCCCAGCTAAGTACAAGGTTGGTTTCACGACATCTCTTAAGCACTAGATCTAAGCTTTTGAGACATGGATCAAATGAGGACCCAAAAATAGAAAAATCATCCATAAAGACCTTTAGATACTCTTCCACCATATCTGAGAAAATTGACATTATACACCTTTGGAATGTGGCGGGTGCATTGCACAAACCAAAAGGCATCCGTCTATAAGCAAATGTGCCGAATGGACATGCAAAGGTGGTTTTCTCTTGGTCTAATGGGTCGAGGGCTACTTGATTGTACCCCGAATAGCCATCAAGGAAGCAATAATATTGTTGCCCGGCCAATCTCTCTAGAATTTGATCAATGAAAGGCAAAGGGAAGTGATCCTTTCTAGTGGCAGCATTCAATTTGTGGTAATCAATGCATACACACCATGAATTGGCGGTACGCTTAGAGATTTCCTCACCCTTTGCATTCTCAACCACCGTAATCCCTGATTTTTTGGGAACTACTTGAGTTGGACTCACCCATTTGCTATCGGAGATTGGGTAAATGATTCTGGCATCTAAGAGTTTGACAACTTCCTTTTTAACTACCTCCTTCATGTTTGGATTAAGTCTCCTTTGGGCATCCCTAAAGGGTTTTACATCATCTTCTATAAGTATGCAATGCATACAAATAGAGGGGTCAATTCCCTTAAGATCCGTCATACTCCATCCTATGGCTTCCTTATTTTTTTTAAGCACACTTAAGAGAGCATCTTCTTGGTCTTTTCCAAGACTTAAAGAAATGATAACCGGAAGAGTCTCTTTTGGTCCTAAGAATGCATACTTGATATTGGAAGGTAGAGTTTTAAGCTCAAGAATTGGTGGAGAGACTAAAGATGAAACCGGTGGAGTGCTAGAGAGTGGAGGAAGAGGTTTCATTGGAGTTTTCCAAGATGAAAAATCTAAGATTGCAATAGATTCCATGAGATTGCTCACTTCATCCATTGATTTTTCATCATCAAATCCACAACTTTCATACATTTCAAGAAGGCAAGAAGCTAGAGGATCATCGGATAAAAGAGATGAAAGATTATCCTCAATTGGTTTTTTCATTACCATTGTTGGAATTGATTCCTCAACAACCTCATCTAACACATCTATAAGGCAACACTCATCTTCATCCATGGGATGTCGACTTGCATGGAAAACATTAAGTTAGATCATCATATTGCCAAAAGAGAGGTCTATAATCCCAGATCTACAATTAATTATTGCATTTGCGGTGGCAAGGAATGGTCTTCCCAAGATGATTGGGATGTGGTTGGAGGGATTAGCAACCGGTTCGGTATCAAGAACTACGAAATCAACCGAAAAGTAGAATTTATCCACCTTAACAAGAATGTCCTCAACCATGCCCCTAGGTGTTTTTACGGATCTATCGGCCATTTGAAGCACCACCGAGGTTGGCTTCAATTTATTCAACCCTAATTGGACATATACGGAGTAAGGAATCAAGTTGACACTTGCACCTAAGTCAAAAAGAGCTCTACGAATTTCATGAGTTCCAATTACACAAGAAATAGTCGGAGCACCGGGTTCTTTGAACTTAAGAGGAGTTTTTGTTGAAGAATGGAGCTCACTTGCTCCGTGAGGAACACTTTTTTAGGGCTTGGTCCCTTGCTCTTCCTCTTTTGTGTGCAAAGATCTTTCAAGAATTTTGCATAATGTGGAATTTGCTTAATGCATACTTTAGGTTGCACCGGTTCACTATCTTCCTTTGGTAGTTCAACCCTATTATCCACTTGCTTACCACTTCTCAAGGTGGTGATGGCTTGCGCTTGAGCTTGGGAAGAATACCCCGATGTAGGGTTTGCTTCCACACAAAATTGGGCCTTTGGATTCCTCTCGGGTTGACTAGGTAATTTCCCAATTTCTCTTGCATTCAATGCATTAGCTATAGTCCCAATTTGGGATTCAAGCTTTGATAGATTGAGAGTGAGAACACAACAAGTTGGTATCCTTTTCTAAACTACCCAAGGCCATTAAAACCTTGTCTTCAAACGTGGAATTACTAGAAAGTGCTTGAGGATAATGAAAGCCAACTTGGGAATCATACATTTGAGGATGTGAGAAGTTATTCATTCTTTGATGATGGAAAGAAGAAGAGACGAACCCTTGAGAAACTCTATTCCTTTTATGAGGTGGAATGTATTTTCTTTAAAGATTTTTAGCTTGATAAGGGCTTTCATTCCACAATGGAACATATGCTTTTGAATAAGGGTGAGCAAATGTGGCATTAACTTGTTCAAAGTGTTCATTAACAACATGTCCATGGGGACAATTGAAAGTAGTATGCAAAACACTTGAACATGTCATACAAGGCTCACAAAGATGAGTTGTATGATGAAAAGGAGATACATTGATAGCCGGTTATTGATTCAACAAGAATTGATTAAGTTTTTGAGAAAGATTTTTAACCTCGGCTACAATTTCCCTTGAATTTTCAATTTGACACACTGTTACACTTTTCTCTTTTTTAGTAAAACCATGATCAAGCCGAGAAGTGTAATATTTTTGCAAAGAATTTTCACTCATTTTTTCAAAAAGGTGCCAAATGTCATCTTCATATTTTTCAAAATATGAACCTCCACATGACGTATCAACTATGTCCTTTTGCATATCGGATAGGCTTTCATAGAAGTATTGGACAACTTGCCATTTTGGAATACCATGGTGTGGACACTTTCTTAGCAAGTCATTCAATCTCTCCCAAGCCTCATTCAACAACTCTCATTCCCTTTGAGAAAATTCTCTAATTGAAGCGCACATTATATTGGTTAAACTTACGGGGTAAATTTTTTTTTAAAACTCATTTTGCATTTATGCCCAAGATGTTATTGAATTCACCCCTAAAGTATTGAACCAATGCTTTGTTTTATTTTTAAGTGTGAAAGGGAAGAGGAGTAATTTAAGAACTTCCTCTGGGACATCCATGTACCTCACGGTGGAACATAGTTCAAGAAATTCATTAAGGTGCCTATATGGTTCCTCTTCATCCAAGCCATTAAAGAGTGGACACATTTGAATGGTCTCGGGCGTGATTTCATATTGATTAGCCTCAAAATTAGGCAACACAATGCAAGTAGGTGCATGGTATGCATGAAGATTATAATGATCACGAAGGACCATTGGAGGAATTGGAGCTTGAACTCCGGGGTCATGTTGACTAAGAGGTAGGTTATGCATGAAACGTGGGTCTATTAAGCCAAGATTACCCTCTAGATTTTTCATGTGAATGCCTAGAATTAATGGTATGACAAGGTCTATACAACACTACAAATGACACACAAATCACCACAAGATAAACAAGCACTCCTCCTTCGCAACAAATCAACAATCAACAAACTTCCTCCATATACAATGTTCTAATACTCCCATGCTTTGATAACAATGTAAAGGAAAGTAAATTGCCTCCACCCGGGCTCGCGATTTATCTAAGAAATTAAAAACTAGCCTCCACACGGGCAGACGATTTGACTAAGGGATTGAGTAAGAAAGTCTCATAAAGGTCCTTTAGCACTTCAACTCCAAATTTAAAGCTTAGCTTAGTAATTTTTTTTAATTTTTAGCTTTTTTCCTTACTTGCTTAGCTCCTTTGCTTGGATGGCTCCTTTGTTTACCTCCTAGCTCAATGCTCCTTGTCAAAGATGAACAAACACAATAAGTAATCTAAAGAAAAATAAAAACAAAGTAAAGACACGACCAAAAGAGTACTAATTCCTAATTGATTCCAAAAATACGACATTGCCTAATCCCCGACAACAGCACCAAAATTTGACTAGGTGAAAACTATTCCTACACACCAAATTGATGTAGTGAATGTGCGGTTTAAGAAAAGCCTTTTGGGTCAAGTTTAAATTTATAAAAACCACTACCAACACTACTACTAAAATAGCAAGAGTGAGTAGGGATCGTCCCAAGTGATTGGAGTCATACTTGATTGTGGAATCACAATTAGGGTCAGTAGGTCGAGTGATCAAACAAATGATTGGTTAGTTAATTAAACTAGAGAGCAACTAAATTAAACTAAGTAATTGAATGTAACAAAGAGTAAGTAAGAGAGAGAGAAATCTTAGGGTTTAAAGGTCACCACCAAGCAATGCTTTTCTACACTTCTAACTAATGACTAATGAGGGTAATGTGTGTTGCAATATTGGTGTGTGTGTGTGTGTGTTTGGTTGATTCAATTAGTAAGGGTGACCAATTAAGCATAAATTGTCTAATTAACATGTGAAAAGCACAATATATCTAACAATTAAGTATATATTGTCTAAATAGCATGTGAAAAGCACAACATATCTAGCAAGTCATTAATCCTTTCATTAAGCTCATAAGCCAAATACACCACAAGGTTAGAGACATATGTTACTTGCATTCAAAAGTGTGGAACATCAAACAACTAGCATAGATTGTCCTCTCATCTAACAACTATGCTATCACAACACTACAATTAAGCTAATGACATGAAATTAAACTAATTAAACTAAGGGAGAGGCATAATCCATCAAGAAATGAGCATGGACTATCTAGAAAATCACAAGAGCATTCTTTTAAGCACAATGTTTTGACAATCTCTAAATCTATAGAATTAATACACATAGACATGCATCAATAACATAAGAAATAGAGGCAAACACATGAAAATCTATTTTAGCATACATAGACATATGGATAGAATGAAATGATCAATTGGAAGTATTAAACCACATAAATCATTGAATAAACAAGATTTATGTATATCAAGGTGTCAAAACATCAATTACAACACTTATCCCTCAATAATACACAAGATTAAGATATAGAAAACATGCTTGGGGCTAACTCTAGCCCCAAGAGGATGTCTAGCCACTCATGGTGATGTTGCTCCAACCCTCAAGGGCTAATTTCATGGTTGAAATCTACTCCTTGTTGATGAAGAACTCTAATGGTGTCTCTGGCCTCCTCCTCCTCTAAGCTTGCTCTCCAAGAGAATAAACCCTAGAATTGTGTATATGCTCAAAAAGTGCATCATATTCCTTTTATAGGTAGGTCAAGTGGCACACAAAATGTGCTGGGGTCATGTAAAGAATATTCTCTAATGATTGGATAGAGGACGGATTGCACAAGCTGGAAATTTAACTTTTTCGCACTGGAGGAAGTTCGATCGATCGAACCTCGGACTTGGATTGATCGAATTGGCTGAGATCCATCGAACTTAGGCTAGATCGATCCAACTGGTTGAGCTTTTTAGGAAAAGACAAATCCGAGATATTTTGGGAGATATTTATGGGAAAAGGACAAAAGTGGTTAGTGGGTGGTACAGTTATGGATATGATCAATCATTTGGATAAGGACAAAAGTTTTCGATCGATCGAAGGGTGGTGTTAGATCAATCGAACTTTTTGACTTTATGCTTTTGGGTCAAGTCTTGGATCTATCTTAAAATATTGAGATCGATCATTGTTCGATCGATCGAACCTTGAACTTGGATCGATCAAATTTTGCTGCTTCCCACCTTTGGCTTCATTTGCTTTCTTCTTTCTCCACTTTACTCCTTTCTTTGTTTAATCCCTTAATTGCTTCAATTGAGCTCTTATGTGGCTGAGTTAGCTTATTTTCGGGATAAGTGCCTAAAAATGGAAATAATACGAAATCAATCTAAAATGGTAAAGTAAGATAGATAAAGGTACTAGAATGCCTAAGCTTAAGGGGTTTAAATACGCACTTTTCAGCGCTCATCACTTTGGGTACGGAGTTGTACCTTAGTACTGCTTATCATCCTCAAAGTGATGGACAGACTGAGCGGGTGAATCAGATTATGGAGGATATGCTTCGGTCGTGTGTTCTTGATTTCAAGGGCCACTAGGAGGATTATTTGCCACTTGTGGAGTTTACTTATAACAATAGTTTCCAGAAGACTATTGGGATGGCACCATTTGAGGCGTTATATGGCCAACTGTGTCGATCGCCTGTTTGTTGGATAGAGCTTGGTGAGAGCAGATTCTTGGGTCCTGAGTTCATCAAGGATACTTCCAAAAAGATAGCTCTTATTTGAGATTGCATGCGTACTGCCCAAAGTAGGCAAAAGAGCTATGCTGATCGTCGCACCCGTGCTTTAGAGTTTAAGGTTGGAGATCAGGTTCTACTCAAAGTATCGCCTATGAAAGGTGTCATGCACTTTGGGAAGAAAAGAAAGTTGTCACCGCGGTTTGTCAGTCCATTCATGATTATGGATCGAATTAGAGCTGTGGCTTATCGGTTGGCACTTCCAAATAACTTGGATCGCATTCACAATGTGTTCCATGTTTCCATGTTGTTGAAATTTCTGCCAGATGAGGATCGGGATCAGCATATCGATGTTGGGGAGACTGAGTTGCAGCCGGATGCGACTTATTTGGAGCCACCATGTCGTATTGTCGACCGTCGGGATCAGATCCTTCGTAACAAGGTTATCCCTTTAGTTCGTGTACAGTGGAGTCATCACAATGAGGTTGAGTCCACTTGGGAATGGGAGGATGTCATTCGCTCGCAGTTTCCTGAAATATTGGAAGAAGGTAAGAGCGAATTCCGAGGACAGAATTCCTTTTGTTAGGGGGGAAGAATGTAATACCCCTAATTTTAAAAGGATAGTCCTGGTATTTATTATATTGTTTACATTGCATTTATTTTTGTTTAATTGTTTATTTGATTATTTATTTAATTGTTGTTATTTGTTTTTTTAATTTAACTGGCGGTTTGCTTATATTTGCATTATTTGAAATTGTTTATATTTGCACAAATTGTATTGAATTAATTATTAGATAATTATTTTACTAATGTAATTTAGTTGTTTTAATTGAATTAAGTTAATTATATTTAAATTGTTTTAACGTGACTGTATGGAGGCACATATATATTTATATTAGGGTTTTATTGACACGGATGTAGCCAACTTAAGGTTGGTTTTGTATTAGAATTAGGGTTGTGCTAAAGCCTATAAATATAGTATTATACGTTGGTTTGGGGTTATATAGAAAAACCCTATTCATTGATACGTATACCGTGAGACAGAGAGATACAGAGAGTGAAAACTGGTAAGGTTGACGGAGAGGTTCAAGGATACACTGGACGGAGTGCTTTTGGATTGAACCAAGAGCACTTCAGATTTAGAACAAGAGTCTCGAACGTGGACAGAAGCTTCAGAGACAGTGGTTTAGAGTTTCAAAACTGAAACTCAAGGCAAGTCACTATTCTATTCCTTCCCTTTAATTCATGTTATGTGCATGCCTATTTAGACCCCAGGGATTAATCAAGCATTAAAATAGATTAAATTAAAGTTAATATTGATGTTGTAAGCATATTTGAATCAATTTTTAAATCATTGCATAAATCTATTTTTGTGTAAGAAGTTATTTTTGTTTAACAATCTGCTTGCACTGGTTGTAATCTTGCTTAAACTTTGTGTATTTAGGATTGAATGCATGCTTTTAATTAATTCTAGGACATCAATTGAACCCTAGAATAAGTTTTAAAAACTGTACGGTGACTTTGGACTTCGCCGGAGGCGAATAAGACGAACAGGTTAGGGGATACGGCTCTCAAAAGAGGAGAGCCGGCTCACCAAAAGGGTGGAGCCGGCTCTAGGGCTTGTAGAGCCGGATCCACATAAGGTTGAGGTGGCTCCACCTAGGGGGGAGCCTGCTCTAATGTTCTAGAGGCGGCTCCAACCCTATTTTCCTCTGGTTTTGTGATTTTTTTCAACTGTTTGGGGTTCTGTTGTGTAGTTTGGATTAATTTTAAGTTGTTTAGATTTCAGTTTATGGTCTATATAACTGTTACAAGCATGTAGAAATACTGGGAAACATGTTAATATAATTGTGTTGTAGCATGAAACAACATAGGGTTAAACAGGAAGCTTGCATGTGGAAGGTTGGACAGTTACTTTAAATTGCTTACTGAAATTTGTTTAGCAATTTATGTTTACATGATTTAATACTGTCAATCGTGTTGTAACACAATATTGAGCATAGTTGGTTACTTGAAATATTTATGCTTAATTTGGAGTGCTTGATGTGGAAATATACATAACTTTGTAAATCTATGGACTGGTTGGAGGAGTTAAATGCGTAGTTGTACTTCATTAATTTAAAGGATTGGAATAGGATTTCTAAATCTATTATTGGATGCATGATTCAGTTTTACGCATGCTAGATTGTACTTGTGCTTATTTTGGAAAGTAGTTGATAACTATTTAATTGTTTTGTCAACTATGGTAAATGGAGGATGGTGTGCACCGGTATGGGACGGTGGCATACCAGGTACAGACTAGTTCAGACACTAAGCCTACCTAATCTGGATTGAGGTTCGGATTAACAATAAAAGTTAAGTCCAACTTCTGTTGGTGTCAGGTTAGTAAATAACTGAATGACACAATCGGATTTCTGAGATGAATTGTTATACATATATCATGCCACTATATCAGATGGATGATATTCTGTATTAGGAGGACACGGACTTTATATATTTATGTTATGGTGCCATGGTATGAGCTTGAGTCTCAGGACCATGGTTAGGGTGCATATATCGCCTGGATGGATAACTGGACATAGGTGTTATTCCCTGGTAGGTCTAGGTACACATGACCACATTATGTGCGATTTGCATGGTATCTCTACTCAGGCTGAGACAGACTTATTGGACTAGCGAGCGTCCTATAGTGTGTATTATATATTTACATATGGACTATTCTAGATATTGTTGAGCCTTCCTAGGATGTATCTGCGTATCGGATTACTATATGGATTGTAGTAGAATAGGACTTGCATGTGGGCCTGACCCACTCTCTTATTTTTCAGGTATTCGTCAGTTTTGGGGTTAGAGATTGGACGTGCAGTGCAGATACAGACATTCATTCCTCCGACTGCGTAGGAGTTCTTTCTATGTTTAGCTTTAGATTTTATTTCTGTTATTTTAGTTCTATTGGAATTTTTAATAAAGGGTCCACTAGATGGATTCCCGAGTTGTTAACCTTATGGAGTTTTGGAGTATTGGATTTCAATAATTATATTTTAAGGATTTTCAATTAACATTCTTTCAGCTTATTATTATTATTATTATTATTATTTTCATCTTGTATTCTGTGTTTAATTACCTATTGATTGGTTGATATTTCCCTCGGGTTTTGGCCTGGGCCTGATCAACCCGTGTCTCGGATCCGAGGGGTATCACATTATGTCCATTCCTACCACAATAAGTGCAATGCAAAATAGTAGGCACATAAGACATATTAGCATGTGATGAATCAACAACCTTAGATTTATTTTTAGGCACATTCAAGTTAGTGGGTTTCACAAAAATAGTTTTACCCTCTTTACTACATGAAGCCTTATTAAAACTTAAGCCAATTTTGTCATTCACATTCTTACTAATATTAATCATCTCATCAAGTTTTAACTACCCAGAAGTAAATCTATTTGATTTCTCTTGTGACTTTTTCAATTCAATTTCAAGAAATTCTAATTTAGAAATAGGAGATTCATTTGCAGAATTAACTTGACTTACCTCACCTTCTAGGAATCTTATCTTTCCATGAAGATCTTCAATCTCCTTCTTTTTCCGTTCACTTTCCTTCTTCAGAGCATCTCTTTGCTTCTCAACTTCTTTCAATTCTCTAGCTTGCTTATTGAAACCTTTCTTTGTTTGAACATATGTAACATACAATTCATTGAAGGCTTTATCATAATTTTCCTTTGTTGCTTCCTTGTAACAATCTTCATCATTAGATTTTGCTATGTCATCAAAATCCAAGTCATCTGTGTCAGACAAAAACAATCTATTAGAAGCATCATTATTCACAAAAACAACAAAAGCAAGAGGTTTATCATCATCATTAGAAGAATCATCAGAAAAAGAAGCAATTTTATCTTTAGAAACTGAAACATTCATTTCTTTATCCTTCTTTTTATCTTTGGACTCTTTCCTAGCAACAAAGCTATTTTTAGGACTTGAATAAACTGTTGATGTATGACCTATACCACCACATGTCCAACATTTAATCGCAGTTCCTTTAGACTCCTCTTCTCTCCTTTTATCTTGTCTTTCACTTCCCTTAGATGGAAACTCTCTATTCCTAAACCTTGACTCTCCCCCTTTCTTAAATACATTAATCTTTTCAGACTTGATCAAAATTTTGAATTTCCTAGTTATGAGGGCAATTTCTTCATCAGACTCACTATCATACCTAACCTCAGACTTGGAAGAATCAGACTTTGAAGCTTTTAGGGCTAAGTCTTTAGGTTTTAGGGAATTTCCATAGTACTTCATCTCATAGTTCTTAATATGACCTACAACCTCATCAACTTGCATGGTAGTGATGTTTTAAGTTGCTTGCAGTATTTCAACTTTGATTCTGAACCTTTCAGGCAAAGACCTAAGAATTTTCTTGTTAATCTTCTTATCTGTCACTTTCTTTCCTAAGTTTCTAAGGCCAAACACAATATGGTTGAGTTTCATGTAAAACTCAGAAAAGGTTTCATCTTCTTCCATCTTAAAATTTTTAAATTAAAACACAAGCATCTCAATCTTTGAAGATTTGACTTCATCTGTACCCTCATGGGTAAGTGGAAGTATATCCCATGCCTCCTTTGCAATTTTACAATGAGCAATACGAGCTAACTCAGATTGGACAACATATTTGAATAAAGAAAACAAAGCTTTTATGTTTCCTTCTTGAGCATTATTCTCAGCTTGAGTCCACTCAGACTCTTCCTTTTCAATGATAACACCATCCTTTGTGACTGTAGGTTTTTTATAACCTTTTTCAATTGCAGCCCAAACATATTACCTTGAGTCATAAGAAAAGCTATCATGTTAGGTTTCCAAAAAGCATAGTTATCACCATCAAACAAAGGAGTACGTTGAATAGATCCACCTTCCTTAAGAACACTATCCATATCAAATTTTGAAAACAAAAATAGAGATTTTTTTTTTTATTAAAAAAAATCCACAAGGAACAACTCAATGTATAGAGGATGGCTCTGATACCACTTGTTGAGTGTGCGCAGCGGAATTGTTGTGGAATATATTATATGGATAGATAATCTAGAGAGATGGTAAATAGATTCAACTTGCTCTTTTATCCAATTTTGACTTATTTTAATTTTACTGAAATAAAACTAAAATAAACCACAAAGCAAAAATAAAGTGCAAGTAAAGTAAATAGAGTTCGAGATATGACACCAGGATTTTATCGAGGAAACCCTAATTGGTAGAATAGACCAATTGTAACAGGAAAAACCTCGTTGGACTTCGTAGTCCTGAGATAAACGATCCACTATGTTTGAAGCAAAGTATACCGAACTTTGACTCAGTCTCACACCCTATCGTTCTACCAAAAACCAATTGCTGACAATCCCTGGCTTTGCGACTCCCCCGTCCAACAGCTCTCGATCTCAGGCTTACTCTCGATCTCTGTAGAGGAGTTGCAGGTAGATCAGACAACACTCCACGAATGCTCTGACCCCTTCAAAGTGTGATCGCTTCACCCCTTTTCTTCTAGATCTGAATTTGACGAAGAAAGAGTGAATTCTGCTTTTTCGGAATTTCTAAATCTTCAATTATGCTTCAATTTCGATGAGATAGAGAACAACACTCCTAAATCACTCTTGTGTTTATATGTGTGCTCTCAAAAATAAAATCAGAAAAATCAAATTGATTTTCTGAATGAATAAAAAATATCTCTCAAAAGGCTCTCTCAAAGATCTGAAATTTTGTATGCAAAAGCCATGTCTAAACCAATGTGTATGACAAGGTTTATATAGAGTTTAGAAAGTCCTAATCCCTCAGAAAATATGATAAAATTCATACATAGGATTTGGAAGGAAGTTGGGGTTAAAAGGGAAACATTCAGAAGAAGGAAACTGAAGTTAGAATAGTACCAGGACTTCTTGAACCTGTTCAATAAATCTTGAACTGGTTCAAGATGGACAGACTCTAAAATCGCCACTCTAGTGAAGTTGAACCTGTTCGATAAATCTTGAACCAGTTCAAGTTGAACCTGTTCGATTATTCTTAAACCAGTTCAAGATGGATAGAATGTAAAATCTTGTTTCGAACAAAATGGAAAGTGTAGAATGTGTCCAACCTTTTTTAGAATCCTTCCTAATGTGTTGTTTTTACCTTCTTTAAAAAAAATCTCAGTTATGGTAACTTTAAACAACCCTTCCTTTTCGCAGTCGCTGTCGATCCAAATATAGTAACTTGAATTTACAACTGACTAGGACTTGTTTTGACACCGAAAGTTGCCAATAACAGAATATATATTATTTACAATCTTCCCAAAATATATATCTCACATTCTCAAAAACAACAGTTATTGGTGTTTATAGATAATTTTTGCTTTTATATATTAAAAAAAAATTAAAAATGAAGCAACTAAAGTTTAGTTATTATCTCCCAACAAAAAAATAAATAAATAAAAATGTCATTTTTTTGAGTTAAGTTGGGTTGGATTCAGGTTGGTTAATTCAAACATTCATAACTCCTTTTTTCTTTTTCTTCATCTTTAAATTCTTCTTCATTTTTATTTTTATTCTTTTTTCATTTATAACAACTCTAAATAACTAGAAATAATTGAAAGATCATGCATAACATTGTAGCCTATAACTTAATTACAAACGCTACACCAATCTATATTTACAACATGCCTACATTCCGTTGTAGCCAGGTGTACTAGTAACAAGAACATCTAAAATTCTTTTCTCAATGAGAATTTTATTTATTTATTTATTAGGTAAATACTCACCTCACAACTCTAAATAACTTAAATCGACCTTCATTTTCAATTTAAATCCGAGCTGACAGTTGTCCAAGCCCTTCATAGATGATGCTAGCAAATTCAGGCTGGTCAACAACTTAGCTCCCTAATTGGAACCTATGTGGATGCTACCATGAATATTATTTAGAGCATCTGTATTATGAGATGGAATGAAAGAGACTTAAGAAAACATTAGTCAATGCAAAAAATTTAGTGCTGTAAATTTTTACCATGCATTCTTCAAATACATACGAGGCTTCTTGTCGATTCCACAACCTGCTGCGCAGTTCTGGATTCTCAAAATCTTCTTGACGGACGATTTCTCTACCAAGATCTCTTAGTTGATCATGCATTGTCAATATATTATCATTTTCAAGTTTTACAAGAGATATGAGACAAAGAACTTTAATTTCTGTCTTTGGAAAATAACCACAGCCATCCCACATGTAAAATGGATATTTTATATCCATCCTAATAAAAAGACATGCGATATCAAGAAATATTTGTTTTGCTCATGGGTTAATACATCATAACTTACTCTCAATTTTTCCTGAACTTTATGATTTGGTATTTTCTTCAACTTCTTCAATGTATTTTCCCATACTGTTTTTGGCTTGTCAGATAGAAATGAACCTATAACCTCAAGAGCTAGAGGAAGCCCTGCAGTAACTGATACCACCTCTCTAGAGATACTATCAAAGTCTATTGGAGGAAACTTTTTCCGAAAAGCATGAATGTTGAGAAGTTGAAGAGATTGGTCTGGGTTCATAAATGGAGGTTCGTAAGTCTCATCCGCATCAAGAATATTTAAAACATGCTTGTTTCTAGTTGTAACTATAATCCTAGTTCCTGGGCTAAAACAATCACGATTTCCCACGAGCCAATCAAATTGAGACTTTTCATCCACATTGTCAAGAACAATGAAAACTTTCTTTTTGAGAAATCGATGTTTGATAGCGTCGATTCCACGGTTAACATTAGTAATGGGAGGGTGCGGTTTAAGAGTGTCGCTGAGAAGCTGGTTCTGCAAATCAATAATACCTTTATCTTTGTATTGTTTAACATTTTCCCGAACATCTGCAAGGAAGCTACAACAATTTTTAAAGTCTTGAAGGAGCTTGTTGTAGATGGACTTGGCAATAGTTATCTTGCCAATACCACCCATGCCAAGGATACCAACAATCCGTACATTATTTGAATCAACATTTAATAATCTCATCATTTCATTCAGATGATCATCCATCATAACTAAGTTCTCAATTGTAACTATGCATTTTTTGTTCAGGTTCAACGTGTTAAAAATAAATTAATACCATGCATGTTCATTGTGTATTTGGGTTTATTCATGTATTGTTATTGTACATGTATCAAGCAGGTATATGTATCAACTGTGTACATGTATCAAGTGAGTGCATGTATCATGTGTGTGGTTGAGAATTGTCTTGGAAAGTTCTAAGGTCTATGGGAAAATAGTATATATAGTGTAAGGGATTTGTTGTTAAGATATTAACACAACAAAGAATTCAATACAATACAATATTTGTTTCTCTCCTCTCTTCACTTAGAAATTATTTAGTTGGTTGAAACTATAGCCAACATAAGTGGTATCAAAGCTTGATTTCGATCAAGAATAAACTGGGCGTGAAGCTTATTGACGGGAAAAAAAAACCCGAAGAAGATCCATCGTGATGGTGACTACAGGCAATCAAAACCAAGGTGCCCATCAATCAGCACTTCCCATTTTTTATGGGGAAAATTATAATTTTTGGTATGTGAAGATGAAGATCATTTTTCTCTCATATGATTTATGGGATTATGTTGAAGATGAGTATGATGAGCCGGAGGATACAACAACTTTGACGAATGCTCAAAGACAACAATTGAAAGATCATAAGAAGAAAGATGCAAAAGCTTTAGGCTTGATTAAACAAAGAGTTGCTGATACAATCTTTCCCAGAATTATCAATGCTTCTAAAGCAAAGGAGGCATGGAATATCCTTGAGAAGGAGTATGGAGGCAGCACGAAGGTAAGAACTGTAAAACTCCAATCTTTGAGAAGAGATTTTGAAAATATGAAAATGAAAGAAATGGAGTTGTTAAAAGATTATTTTTCTAAACTTATGGAGGTGGCAAATCAAATGAAGACCTATGGGGAAGATATTTCTAATCAAAGAATTGTTGAAAAAATTCTAATTAGTTTGCCAGAAAAATATGACTCTATTGTTGCTGTTATTGAAGAGACTAAAGAGCTTGAAAACTTGAGTGTCGAAGAATTGATGGGTTTCATAAAAGCATTTGAGCAAAGGTTGAGTAGGCGCTCCGAAAAGACAATTGAAAGTGCTTTCAATCCAAGCTCAGTGTTAGTTCCAAAAATCAAGAAAAATGCCCATCAAGTTTTGATCGATCCAAAGGTGAATCTTTTAGAGGTGGAAGACACGGAAGAGGAAGAGGAAGAAATAATTTTGAGAGAAGTGGAAATATAGAGTCCACTCAACAAAATTGTGGAATTTGCAAGAGAAGTAGCTATGTTGACAAAGATTGTTGGTTCCGGGGAAAACCTCAATGTTTCAACTGTAAGAAATTTGGACATGTTAAAAAAGATTGCTGGTTGAAAACAAATCAGTAAGCTAATTTTTTCGAAGTGCAAAAAGGTGAAGCAAGCATGTTTTATGCTTGTCACTCGACATCGGAACAAAAGGATGATCTGTGGTTTCTTGATAGTAGGTGTAGTAACCACATGACCGGAGATAAAAACATATTCTTGGAGATTGATTCTTCATCCAATTCTCAAGTGAGGATGGGAAACGGTGCCTTAGTCCAAGCAAAGGGAAAAGGTACTATTGCCATAGAGACAAAAAAAAGGAAGAAAACATATTCGGGATGTGTTACTTGTTTCGGATTTGAAGCAAATTTTGTTAAGTGTTGGACAGCTTGTAGAGCATGGTTACTCCATTCATTTTGATGAGGACTCTTGCAAAATATATGACAAGGGAGGACAAAATCATATTGTGGCAGAAATCAAGATGGGGAAAAATAGAAGCTTTCCTCTCACTTTGTCATGTTAAAAAAATATGGCCTTGAAGATGGATGTTGTTGATGAGTCATGACTTTGGCATAAAAGACTTGGCCATTTGAATTTCCAAAGCTTAAAGAATTTACAAAAAAAATAGCATGGTGTATGGGCTACCAACAATACAAGAAGTTAAAGAAGTTTGTGAAGGTTGTACTCTTGGCAAGCATCACCGAGAGTCATTTCCGAAAGAGAAGGCATGGAGGGCTAAAGCACCATTGGAGCTTGTTCATACCGATGTGTGTGGACCGATGACAACACTAACTCAAGCGGGTAACAAGTATTTTATTATTTTCGTTGATGATTTTTCAAAAATGACATGGATTTATTTCATGAGACAAAAATCAGATGTGTTCTCTATTTTCAAAAAATTTCGAAAGCTTGTTGAAAGGCAAAGTGGCCATCTTATCAAAGTGTTAAGAAGTGATAGAGGTGGAGAGTACAACTCAAATGAGTTTGAAAATTTTTGTGAAGATATTGGCTTGGAGAGGCAATTAGCGGTTGAGTACACTCCACAACAAAATGGAGTGGCAGAAAGAAAAAATAGAACAATTATTGAGATGGAAAAATCAATGCTTCATGAGAAGGGGCTACCTAAATCATTTTGGGGTGAAGCCGTGTATACGGCTGTTTACTTGATGAATAGGAGTCCAACAAAAGCGGTGGAGAATAAAACTCCATTTGAAACATGGAGAGGAAAGAAGCCATCATTGAACCACTTGAAAGTTTTTGGGTGTATTTGTTTTGCTTATGTTCCAAGAGAAGTGAGGCACAAACTTGATGAAGCTAGTGAAAAATGCATCTTTGTGGGTTATAACTCAAAATCAAAGGGCTATAGACTCTTTAATTTGAAGAAGAATAAATTGATTATTTGTAGAGATGTTCTCTTTAATGAGAAGGCTGCTTGGGATTGGAAAGAGAAGAAAGTTCAAGATCAAATTCCCATTTTCAATGAAGAATCAGGAAATCAAGAAAGTGAAAATGAATATTTTCTTGAAGTTCCACAAGAAATGTCTCCTATATCTAGCTTACAATCAATCCCAACTTCTCCATCAAACTCAAATTCCTCATCTCCAAGTTCAACTCCAAGAAGAATGAAAAGTCTTAGTGATGTGTATGCAAGTTGCAATTTTTGTGTTGTTGAACCGAAGAACTTTGAAGAAGTAATTAAAGAAGTGGCAAGGAAGAAATTCAAGAAGAAGAGGAAGAGGATGAGATTCAACTCAAGTATTGCAAGACTGAAGACCAAGATGCGGACATTTTTACCAAAGCACTTCCAAAAAAAATAAGTTTGAATACTTTAGAGAATTGTTGGGTGTCACAACATGGCATTAAGGGGGTTGTGTTAAAAATAAATTAATGCCATGCATGTTCATTGTGCATTTAGGTTTATTCATGTATTGTTATTGTACATGTGTCAAGCAGGTACATGTATCAACTGTGTACATGTATCAAGTGAGTGCATGTATCATATGTGTGGTTGAGAATTGTCTTGAAAAGTTCAAAGGTCTATGGGAAAATAGTATATATAATGTAAGGGATTTGTTGTTAAGATATCAACACAACAAAGAATTCAATACAATACAATATTTGTTTCTCTCCTCTCTTTACTTAGAAATTATTTAGTTGGTTAAAACTGCAGCCAACACAACGACACTGTTTGAACAATCTTTTTTACTAATTCCCCATTCCTGATTAATGTCAAGATGAAAATGAAAAATAATTAGTGACCGAGTCGTAAACAAGCAGCTAAAATAATGATTGTTGTGTTAGCAGTTGAGTCATGAAACCAACATTTATCATATTGTTTTTCATCTTATAATTTTGTGCTTGTCCCTCTAATTTGATAGTATTAAAATGGTTTATCATATATTGGATTCCAATACTATATGTGCAAAGAATTTAACATAAGGGGGTTATCAGCTTCTTTGTTGACTTGCCAACCATTGAGGTCTCCAACCTCTTTGAGTGCCTCTTTCCATTTCATAATGGTGCATTCATCAAAACAGCTCTCGTGCTTGCGAAAGGCTTCCTCGAAACTCCCAGATTGATGCCTCACATCCCATGGTTCAACATCATAGAAGATTGGCAAAATCAATTGTCCAGTGCTTCTCTTGCAATCCACCATCTGAGCCAGCTCGCGGAGACACCATTTACTAGAAGCATAGTTCTTGGAGAAGATGGGGATGGAAATACTGGACTCCCTGATTGCTTTGAGGAGCTCAGGCCGATCTCTTGTCCTTTGTGAAGCTCATTGTCATCCCGAAAGGTGCGAACGCCTGCGTCATTGAGATACGTATATAGAAAATCTGTGAACGTGTAGTGATTGTCTGGACCTCTAAAACTCAAAAACACTTCGTATTTGCCTCCTGGAACAGCAAGAACGGACATGGCTGAAGAGCGCAAAACGATACTTGGATCTGCAGCCTCACCATCCATTTCAGATACAATCGTCATCTAACTTTTCTACTCGATCGATCAGAAACAATATTGTGGAAGATAAATCTTATACGAGTATTACCAACTCCAGTGTTTGTACTATGAAATGAAGCTCAAATCTCTCTAGCTTACTTCAGTGTTTGGCCTTTGGATCTGCAAATTGAGACATTCAAATACCCAAAATATATTTGCAAACCTCTCTCTATGATGTTTGGGTAATGGATCTGCAAATTCTCTTGATCGGGGAATTGGAGAGAGCTAGGCTCAACACAACCACACATCCAAATTAACTTTCCAAGTTAAGTCAACAGGAAAAAGGACAATTTATGTTTCGGCCAAAGAGGCAGTTTTTCCAAGCACTCACAGGTTAGGAAACTTCATAGAAATTTCCAACATCAAGACACAACGTACCTCACACACATATGTAGTATTAAGGCTGCAAATGAATCGAGCCGAGCCGAGCTTGGGTCTACTTGGACTCGGCTCATTTGTTTACGGGGTCTGCTCGGCTCGTGACGAGCTTAGAAAATTGAGCCCGGGCTCGGGCTCGTCTTAATTTTAAAAGTTCGGGCTCAAACTTTCTTCTCAAAATTAATTAATATTCTACAAAAAAATCAATGATTTCATGCTCCATCATTGTAATTATAATAAATCAATGCTAAAAATTTCAAGATACCATCATTGTAATCATAGAAAATCAATGATTTCATGCTCCATAATTGTAATTATAATAA